GGGAACACACAAGTGCGGTGGAAGGTCAGGGCGCGTGGAAACTGGGCCCTCGGTGACGAGCGAGGTAGTAGAACTAGGGCGCAGTGGTCTTCTGGAATAAATATTTCGTTTCAACCTTGCTGGAGGAATGACTCAGTAAAGGAACGCCAGTTGGGCTCAAACGGCAAGAGGAAAAAGAATCTAAAACATTGGTCGGCGGGAGATGAGCCCCGTATAAAGGAAGGACTGACGAGGGACCATTTCCCCAACTTGGTCATTGAAAAGCGCGTGTCACGAATTAATAAGTTGGCAGAACAAACGAAAACATCTAGATGGATGAGCCCTGATATTGTCTTCCCATGCAAGGACAGGCATTAACCAACTATTTCAAGACACAAGAGAAAAGCACCTTGCTGGCAACATTTGCTTCCGCAGTGTCACAAAGCGGTGACAACTACTCGCATGTTTGTCACGTAAGTGATTCTGAAGTGTGATTGGGCGGTCAGCAAAGTGTCGTTCGCGTGTCGGTAAGTGAAGTTGATAATCATCTGGCCTAGTAGCACAAGACTAAAAAAAAAAAATTATTTTGGTTTTTTTTTTAATTATTTTTCTTGGTGCGGTCCTCACAGACACGTCTTTGTTTAGTATCTACTCCTACAGCTCGGAGAGGATCATAAAACAGGATTGAATTACCGCGTGGCATCAGCTCTCATGTGACGAAGCTCACTCGTGCAACCACATCTTAGGTAACAAGACTCCGTCAATAAATGTCATAGAGCAACACGATAGATTTATTCATCGTTCTTTGAGTAGAGTTATCCCCGAAGCTGTGAGTTAGGAGGGCTTAGGCTTAGCACCGCAACTGGGAAGTCCAAGAGCAGGATTTTAAGTTGTTTTGGGATGCACTATTGTTTTGCCCCCTGACTTTTCAGTGCGGCAATTTAATATAAATTATCTTTAGTGCCCCATTCAGTAAGGAGGCGAGCACTCTGAACAAAGCAAAGCTGTAACTTACACTTATGTGTATGTCTGAGTGGAGTGTTTCGTCTTTCTCCAAGCTGTAGTGATGGGACTCCTGGACAGAGGGCTATAGGGGAAATGCTCCATGCACGGACTTATAGTAAGGAGGCATTCTGCTCGAGAGACGATACCTCGAATCACCGGGATCGCTTCTTTATTTCCGTATTCACATGCATGGTTCGCTCTGGCTATTTACGTGGCTGAATAGATGAAGAGCCGCAACAGTACAGTACACAAAACACTGCCATCCGTCCGTCCACGTAATCGCCCGAAGTGTGCCCCAAAAAGGCTGTAGAATGTTAAAAGGCGTTTCAACAAGTTAATTACCAACAACATATCTGCCTTCCTTCTTTTTTTTTTTTTTTTCCTTTTTTTTGTCTTATGAAGAGCGTGCAGGGGCTGAGTTAACTCCGACCAAAAAGAGCAGATCAAAGACGGTGAAAGACGATGGCTCTGTGTAAACCAACGAATTTTCATGCGAGGGCTGTCGATGTTCAAGATCCTTTAGCGAAGAGGGCAGAGTACCTGAACAAAGATAAGGTTATTTCGTTGAGTTCTCTCACTTCAGATTTATTTATATTTTACATGTGAACGGATCAGATCCCGAGTCAGGAGGTCTAAGAAACACTTAATAAAAATACGCATAAATAAGCACTCTCATCTTATAAATAGATATACCTATCATGTACAGTGTCTCGGAAGCAAAAATAAACACACAAAAAAACGAACCTGTCGAGGGAATGTTGAGGTGGGTGATCACATGGGTGTCCTATACAAGTAACAGAACAAATATGAGTGGTCTGAAGGTGCGCCGTTAAGAGGGAGAACCCACAAGGGAGCAGCTGCCCAGAAGTGAGCTCAATGATGCGCGCTGGCCCAGTTGTGTCCAGAGGGACTCGAAAATTTCAGGCCCCTCAGGAAATTCCTTTCTCAAAGAGTTCTGGCACCTGCATTCCGAAACAGTCTTCTTCCTTAAGGTTGTATTTAAAGGCCGGCTTACTCTACATTTGCACACTGGCTTCGCTCCCACACACACCCTCCCCCGCCAACTCTGCTTCCGCAAGATCAGATTCTCTCTTCTCCAACTTCTCCAAACAGAAAAAGCGTAGAGCGGAGTCATACCGCAATGTCTTCGCGGTTCGTGAGAGAAGAAATGTCTGCCTTGCGGAAGTTCGAGTCTGTATGCAAGCATTTTTTAAAACCTTTCTTTACTCAGGAAATGTTTTCCACACAAAGGAGCCTGTAAGCTTTCGCACCCTCCATCACTGCCCCCAGGAAGAAGACAGAACGTTTCTAAAGAAGAACAGGTCGAGAACTCTTTTAGAAGCGGGTATTTCGCGAGGGTGGTGAGCACCGCAATGAAAACAAAACCGTCCGTCATGGTCTTCTTCCCAAGCGGTGATGAACCAACCAAAGGCCAAGATTGCAAACAGGAAAACGGGTCGACGACAACAAATTTGCCGACATGCGTGGTCGTAGAGTGGGCGATGAGTGCGGAGGGTGGCCCCCATTATGGCAGCGGAGATCAGATGGACGGTTTACGGTGGAATCCGGTCGATCCACGGGTGAACGTTGCATTAAGTGCGATGCACCGTCGACGATCGAGTGACCCTATAGTTCCGTAAAGAGCCGTGGACATCCGGCGCCTCGCTCGCACCGCCACTTGGTAAGCGTGAGCAATCGCGACACCGCCACACTTCCTAAGTTGAGCAAGTTTTCAGAAGCTACTTTGAAGCCAGACGGACGGCCACGGGCGCTCAACCTACTTCCTTTCACCTTTCGCTTGTGCCATTTGTTTCAAAACGATCTCACTCGGGAGGGAAAATGAACACCCCAAGCGTGGCTCACAGTAGCAGAGATCGCCGTGGCGCCGACTTGGCAAAATATTTCGTTTCAGGTGGGTTGAGTGTATACCAGTCGCTGCCATTCTCACCGGCAGGAGCTCCGAGCAATTGACCACCTCATAATGTGAATGCGAAGCGAAGGACAAGCAACCGCCAAGCGCGACCAACACTGGCAAACGGAACAACACGCTGCTAACGAACAAAACCGCAGCACTGGGGAAGAGAGAGGACAAATAGGTGTTTTGGCACGGCGATTGGTCAGTATGAGAACACAAAACAGCGCTTACAAAAACAAACAACTATAAGTGAAATTTTAAGCTCCAAGCGCAAGCTAGCTATATACGAGTAAAGCAGGAAGCGCGCGCACACCCCTCGTACTTTCACGCCCTGCCCTCAACGGCGCCCCAGGGCACGCTGAAACGATCCGATATGGACTCGAAAAGGAAAGCCCTTTTTGTACTAAACAAGACACGTCGATCTCGTCCGTTGAGCGTTAAAAGGCCAAACGAGTATGAAGCGCACCTGCCGAGCACTGCAGCCAAGTAAGCTACCAGAAGTCCCGACTCGGACACCGGTTGGTCAGCGAGCCGGGAGCACAGGCGACATCCTGGCACGACCCGCCGACTTCCGAGTGACAGGATAGTGCGGCGCAAAAAAATATCCTTTGTTCTGTTGCTAAGAGGCTCGCAACACGCAGCTACGAATAAGGCCACCTGAGGTTACTTGAATGTCCTCCCCGCAAGAACGGAAACAAGAGTACAAGAAACGGGGGATGTTCGGAAGGTAGCTTCTCGCGTCGAACGGCGTCGCCTCGGGAGGAGGGAGTGGACGACGGAGCCTCGAGGCTTCCAGGCCGCGAGGAATGCGGGTCCACCAAAGCCGATGCGCGCCGATATCAGGCAGCTGGAGACAGCCAGAAGGGACCGAGAGGCCCGAGGAGGCTGTCGTCGCGAAAACCTTTTCGCAGAGCGGTCGCGCCTCTTTGTTTTCCGGTTGGCAAGGCCACGCGCCGTTTCGGAAATAGAAGCAAATGAACCGCGGGACCTGCCCCCCCTCCCCCCGTTAAGCGAAGCGGGCTGCAGAAAAATAGCAGTCCCAGATGGTCTGGGCCGCTCCGTCGAAGGAGCTATTTATACTTATAAGAAAAGAAGAATTCTCCTTAGAGGTGCGAAGCGCACAATTTGAAGAACAAAGTTTCTTTTCCGCATTTTTGAGGGGGACGCTGGCAAACACAACACCAGCACCAACAAGCAAGCTTGGCAAGGGCTCCTGGCGCAGCAAGGTGGTGCGCTCTCGGGGCGAGCACGAAGCAAGCGTTCAAAGAGACGAAACAGGTGAGAGGCACTAGCGGCAAATGCGGAAAAACAACAACGCGCGGTAACAGCTAACCTGGCGTCTCCGAAACTGGAACGGCAACTCGTCACAGCAAAACCAGAAGGGCCATCGAAGAACGTGACAACGGGCTACAAAAACAGCAGCAGCAGCAACAAAAGGGCCCAGTCCCACAAGGCGAACATTAGACGAACTCTGTTTGCGGAGAGGGAGCTTCGAACGCTACGATCTTTCTACCATAATTTATGCAATGACGTCTCAGAAGGTTCGAGCGTGCGCGCGCGGGTCAAGATACCCTAAAAGGCAGCTGACGGTCGCTCACAAGATGAGGGCGGCAGGGAGATCTTTCAGTTGCCTCCAGCGAGAGCTTCCTGCCTTCGATTACATTTGGCCGCCTCGTGGGCCCCAAACGGGCACGCGCAGCTGAAGCACGATGGAAGGCAACGAGCTCAGGGCCATCTGAAAGACCCCGTTCTCATTCGGTCAGTGACTATGGAGCAAGACGATTTCAAAGTTCCACGATCCCTTCGGAGACCGCAGCGTCAAATATTTTGGCACGCGTCTCCGTCATCATCGACCCCCGCACCCTCCCCCTTCCTCCTCCTCCCTTCCCATTCAAAGAAAAATCGTCACGTCCGCCAATAGAGTTAAGTATAAACCGCATGCAATCGATTTGGCGAGCGACGAGACAAAAAAAAAAAAGGCGACCCGATTCGCTATCGCTCGGCGAGTCGCGCGACGAAGCAAACCGTATGAAAGCGACGGGAGCAAGCGATCGAGGTGATGGGCGACGTTTTCTAGAAATCCAAAACCGAGCGACGCGACCAGCTACAGTGGGAAATCTCCGTCGCTCGTCGCTCAGTCTCGTCGCTCGTCTCGTCGTTCGCTAAATCGCTTACATCTGATGCAGCCTTTAGCTGAATGCTCGCTTTGTGGGACTCGCCTCTATCGCAAAAGACGCTGATGTCGCAGGGAAGGAGGTCGCTCAACGAATCGCAGGGAACAAGAAAGAACAACAACAATGACAAAAAAAAATGGGCGAAAAACTAGGAATGGCGTCGCCGACTTGGAAGAACGAAGGAACAGGACCGAATAAAAAAAAATGTAAAGAAGAGCACAGGTGTACTTCTTGGTACGTTCCGCCGGGATAAGGTGAAGAGGCGACTTAAAGTCTTGTCGCAAAAGCGGCGCTGCCTCCAGTCGCCGCCGCGGCCACCTATGTACACAAATATCACACCGCACTTGGAGGCAAGTCCGTTGCTGTTTTCCGGCTGAATGAGGATGACGTGAACACAGAAGGGCCATCTCCGTGGACACACACACGAGCACGCGGGAGATCAGTGGAGAGGGGTGGAAGGCGGGGACAGGTGCCCCCCTCCCCCCCCTGCTGCCTTAATTAGAGTCTGTTCGCTTCTTCTTTGACCAGGGGCACTGTGGAGTGGAGGACGGCGTCTTGGCTTCGTGGGACGTAGCCGAAGCTGTCAGGGAAGAGAAGAGAGACACGACAAGTTTAGAGAAACAAGCGACGAAAAGGCACTAAATGAGATTGACTGCAGCGCGTAATGGCCCGAACGAAGAGTGCTCCCCGGGAAGGGGGCGCTCATTCCGCGGTCGCCCCAGTATACGCGGCTTTCGGCTGATGTCGTGCTACGTTGCTCACTTTTGCGTACAAATACAATGGTCACGATCTCGACCCAATGGAAATTGGCCCGTCTCCGACTAAATGGATTGCGGTAAAATGACAATTTAAATGCGCGCCCGGAATATTAGATAATAAAGAAGACGGGGCAAAGAGGCGTGAACAACGGATGTGCATTAAACAACCAGGTATATTGAACCTCGAACCAAAAAGGGTTGCCTTTTAGGGCGCATATTTTTGGGCTGAAGTCGGGGTTTGAACGCCGTATTACACACTAAGCATGTTTTAATACAAATTCGCATCCTAGACACGTTGTATCAAAATCGGAAAAAAGCCGATTTTTTTTTTTTTTTTTTTGGATCAACTAGGAGTTTTGTCGTTTTCGATTGCAATGTTAAAGCTAATTGAAGATATAAAAAACATCTGTAGTACTAATATAGATATAGTTTGGAAAGCAGACGCCCGACTGGAGTCTCAAAAGACCGGCCGGAATAACTTTTCGTTGTGCAAATCGTATAGACGCTTTCAGGGAGTCAGTTACTCAAGCTGCCACCAGCCGGCGCGCCCTCCGCGCGCTTTCCGGGCCGCCATAGCCGAAGTTCAGTTTCTCGCCGTTGCTAAGCGCTGTGTGCTGCACCGGCCACCACCGGAGCTTTGTTTTCGTGTTCTTTTACGTTCCGCGTTGAAATGTTGTGTTATTGCGTTATCTGTAGGTCTTTTCGATATTTCCGGCTTTCATTTAATCATTTGAGATCTATATTTCAACATGGCTCTTGTATTTTCTGATTTATGGAATGGAATCGGACAGCGAATGGATCGACGATACAAGTTATGGCCTAGGCTTCAGAGACCATGTAAGTTCATAAACGTTAGAATGTGATGAACTTGCATGGTCTCTAAAGCCTTGGCCATGATCTTGTAGCGTCGATCCATTTGCTGTCCGATTCCTTTCCATAAATCAGAAAATACAAGAGCTATGTTGAAATATAGATATCGAATGAATAATGAAAGCCAGAAATATCGAAAAGACGTAAATAAAACACAAGATTTCAACGCGGAACGTAAAAGAACATGAAAACAAAGTTCCGGTGGTTGCCGGTGGAGCACACAACGCGGAGCAACGGCGAGTAACTGAAGGACGGCTATGGCGGCAGGGTCACGTGACGTCAAGATGGCGGTGCCCATAAAATGTTGCCTGAAAGTGTCTATATGCCGACAATTTCGAACAGTTTTTTGAAGTTTCTTGTTTTTTGGGGAAAAAACACCATCTGGAAACGCTCGAATCCCCAAATCAACAGAAAACTTATTGTATCCCGAATTTCAGTACAAAAAAGTGGACCTCCACTTCGTCCCAATATTCGTAACGTACAAACCTCCAAAACAAAAGAACTCTACGCATCTTTTATGATTAAAAAACTCAGTGGTGTCCAATAACATCAAATATTGGGAAGGCAGGTCAGCAAAGGAACTTGAAACATGATAAACCCATGAACCATCAGGCATATCTGACTACAACATAAATTCTCAATACGTCAATTAGCCACAGATTTGAAAGTTGCCATGCACTTGCGCAATTACAACAGCACCGATAGTGCGTACCAGGTAGACGTGACTGAAAGCCTGTGTCCGAAGCCTTCGAACCGATGTTTCATATATAAAAAAGAAAAAAACAATTATTAAGCCACGATGATTATCGTAAGTTGCAACTGCAATTTAGGTATGCAATTTACGACTGATTGGCATAAATTTGAACAGAACACGCACTACTAGAGACTTGCGTCATTGGTAGTTCATATACATCATGCAGTCACGAAAAGGATCATTGTTGCACACCAATTTACATCTCACGCTCACCACTTCGAAATACGGTATAAGTCCAGACGCGATTTTAGTGCAGAGACATTTCCTGAGTCACATCAACCCAAAGAAAAGTTTGAACTTGTCTGATTGCTCTAATAAGCATTCGGAGCACAGAATGTGTTGTTCATTCATTATGTCTGCGTGATGGATAGTTATGCTTCGTGAAATTCCACGAGACAACGCGCTTGCGCGCCACAATTGCAGCAGGCGCGTTGTCACGTAGCCTTTGGCTGGCTTCGAATGTGCGCACTCGTGCGCTCACCGGGTTTATCAGAATGATCGAGACAAGTTTAGATTTATTCAGGAGTGGAGTTTTTGAGAAGTGTGGTGTAACTAAAAGTTTCCCCGAGTTCTGCCAATACTTTACTATAGCGTTCATCTTACTCCGCGAAAAAGCAATGGCCTTGGCGTTGCGAGCATGTGCGTAGTCGGAAGGGCAGGACGCGCGCAGCCCCAGGGTCCTTTGAATTGGGAGAGGAGCTACCGCCACCTATCGTCATGCAAACTCGTCGATAGAGCGAAGACAGCCGTCCCTGCTCTCTTGGCGAATGCGGAATCTCGGTGCGTCGGCAACAGCCCTCTCGCTCAGAGCAGCGCGAAAGCGTGCCAGCACGGACAGCTCTATAAAGGAACTGTATAGGCAGCACCATGCCCATGCCACGGCAAAAAGCAATACACTAAAAGTATACTTAGAGTAATAAAAGTGTACTTTAAGTTCGTACAAAGTGTATCTGTAGCCAATACTGAAAGAACTCTTGTAAATACAAAACTAGTAAATGCACTTGGGCAGACCTGAATTATGCTGAGACTGCACCATCAATGTAACAAAATGAACTATTAAAATATACTTAGAGTTTACTTTTCTAAGTATACTACATGCGTATTTTAAGTGAACTTCAATTTCACCTTTAAGTTCATTTAAAGCGCACGGAGAATGTACGATAATAAAGTCCAGCAGATTACTTGACAATGGGAACTTACCGCGTCGATAAACACTGATTATTGTATTTGTGTTGCTCTTGTTTTGTTGTTAAGCGGGAAAAGAGGATAGCCGGAAGGAGGTGTGAGACTTTTATCCAACTTAGATTACATAAGTGATTTCAGCGCTTTAAAATTACAGCCGCAAATTATCACTCATTTGCCATATACCACTTTTACTCAACATATAGATTGACGAAAGAAGAGAATGGCTTGCTTGAGGTGTTTCTTAACAGCGACGAAGTAATAGTACCAACAGATCGCCAAACCGAGTTAAATAAACACATTTATTTTAATTGCTGCCGCACCGGGCAGGTCTTCAGATGGACAGTCGAGATGCGGTCTAACTCACAGGTGAGTGTGAACGGGTCCTCCCTCTCTTTTATGTACCACGGCGCCTTGGGGGTCGCTGCTTGCCAGAGCGCGAGCGGCCGCGGCATGTCGGAGCGCAAGACATGAAAGGCATGAAGAATGCACTTGAAGTACAACTGTGGTGTAATTTAAGCACACCTATAGTATACTTCTTCGTATATTTAAAATTTCGCGAGAAGTGAGATTTTAGTATACCTCAAACTATAGTCAGTAAAAGGTTACGGGTAAAGGGAAAGCTCCTCCCACCTATTTCCATTGTAGCAGAGCGAACGCTGGAGAGGAGAGCTTCCACTTAGTTCTTGATTTGTCAGCGACTGTAGTATACTTTTTATTTCATAAAAGTGCAAAACGATTATGTTTTCAGTACGTAAACTGTAGTACACATTAAGCATAAGTTTAGTGGATTGCTTTTACCAAGAGTTCTCTTGAAAGTGCGATATATTATGCAAATGACCGAAGTAGAATGTACTCTACCAGTAAAGTATTAAGCGCGAAACACATGTACGACGAAACCGTCCGATCCGACGTGCGGACTGTCGGAATGACCTTGGGGGGAGAGGGTTTTCGTAGCATAGGAGAGCGTTGAAAACCCTCGCCTCCGACCGTCGTATTGGCGGTCGGACGTCGGATCGGACGGTTTCGTCGTACATGTGTTTCGCGCTTTATGATTATACTTCTTCCGACGGTGCGTGTATCGCCTTGAGCCCTCAGTGCTCCTGGATTACGGAAGCCCCTTGTCGTAACTGAAGCAATCGCGAGCGGGAGGAGGTTCATCTCGCATCTGCTAATCTACCTAATGGCTGATGTACCAAGTCGTGACGTCATACGCCCGCTGCGTTAGCCGTTGGTGCGTTCTGATCTGTCCTAAGACGCTGCAGAATCACGTGGGGAGCTGCGCTTCGTCATTCGGGAGCCAGCTGCGCGTGCCGGCTGTTGCCACGCAGGCTCCCGTGAGTTATACTTGCACCCTAAAAAAATATCTGGTCGCGAAAAAACTCTTCAGGGTTCTTCGGCTTGTCCATAGTTTGCACCCAAAAAGTTCTTTTAAGCACCCCCTAAAAGATTTCTTTGTGAAAACCCCACAGCGGTGTTCTCGTGATCGTTTATTTTTTTTTTTTTTTTATGCGAAGGATTTTTTTTATCGCTTGGTTGCCTTTCTAGTGCGCCAGGGGGCGCTAGTGGGGCGTCGAAGAACCTTTCAAGAACGGACTTCTTTAGAGTGATTGCTGTTTGCGCTCTCTTTCACCTCCTCCTCGTGGTGCTGCCATAAAGATTTTAAACAAATTCTCGTGACGCCGAGCAAATGCGTCAGGCTGCGGATGGCACAGTCCCGGTGCGATTCCCATTGAGTCACTTGATAAATCTCGCGTGTTACAATAAATAACGCCTAATTCCGAGTACGTATGACAAATTATGACCAAGAATGCCTGCTCTCTATATATGCTTGTGCACTGCCCGCTATGGGCAGTGAATACGTTGTTTCCTGTGTAACAATTATTCGCCACATTCCAGCGTCACGCTTTTCGCATGAACTACGACACCTAATCACATTCTTTGTTCAAACGCGTTCCCTGAAACCTCCGTGAACATCGATTGCAGCACAATAACCAATTAAGACTTTTGAAGCGA